GGAGAAGTGAACACACACACATCCAGTGTGTTGATCTTGGCCGTCTGCTCCCAGAGACACAGACAGAGTGAACAAAGAGAGTCCACTGTGACACTGATGTGGTCCGACTGACTGGTCCGACTGACTGATCTGACTGACTGGTCCGACTGACTGGTTCGACTGACTGGTCCGACTGACTGATCTGACTGACTGGTCCGACTGACTGGTTCAACTGACTGGTCCGACTGACTGGTTCGACTGACTGGTTCAACTGATGTGGTCCGACTGACTGGTCCGACTGATGTGGTCCGACTGACTGGTCCGACTGATGTGGTCCGACTGACTGGTTCGACTGACTGGTTCAACTGATGTGGTCCGACTGACTGGTCCGACTGATGTGGTCCGACTGACTGGTCCGACTGACTGGTTCAACTGACTGGTCCCAGTTTTCATCTCACATCAGTGGACTTTCAACAGCTCAGGGAACGGTCTGCTCCACCTAGAGGTTAAGTTGGTCACTGCGTCCAGACCTCAACTCACAGACACACATTATACTGTATGGAGTGAAATCATCATTATTATTATTAACAATAATATTGATGGTAATAACTATTTTTTTTTTTTTTCTAGAAAAGCCTGTCTGCCCACCAGGAAAGGATTCGACAGCTTCTTTGGTTCTCTGACAGGAAGTGTGGATTATTACAGGTAGGAGCCGTTCTCCATCACCGATTGGTCCGCGTGGCCGTCACTCACGTCTCTCCGCCTGCCTCCTGCAGCTACAGCTCATGCGATGGTCCCGGCCTGTGTGGATACGACCTCCACCACGATGAGGGCGTGGCCTGGGGCCAAGAGGGGAAATACTCCACCCTGCTCTTCACCCAACGAGCGCGCAGGATCCTGGAGGAGCACCGCCCCGAAGACAAGCCGCTCGTCCTGCTGCTCTCCCTTGAGGAGGGGGAGGAGCCTGTGAGTCATCGTCTGGTGGTAGAAACGTCAGAGGAGTTAGAAAAACACAAGTGTTTGTTCTCCCAGCATCAGGATCTCACTTCAGACTAACCCTTTAATTCAGAGCTTCCTGGTCAGACCTGAAACATCTCAAACATTTAAGTGCCTTAAAATCATTCTCACGTTCCCTCGTTTTACTAAGAAACACCTTCTTCAGACTAGTCACCGTCACCGTCTGCTGCAGACAGGGCTAACGTGGACGTTCTCCTCCAGGCGGTCCACACTCCTCTTCAGCCTCCTAAGACCTACATCTATCCCTACCGTGACATGGCCAACGTGGCCAGGAGGAAGTTCGCCGCCATGGTCTCCACGGTGGACGAGGCGGTCCGAAACGTCACCTACGCCCTGAGAAAGTACGGGTACTACAAGAACAGCATCATCATCTTCTCCACTGACAACGGAGCGCAGCCGTTCACAGGAGGCAGCAACTGGCCCCTGAGGGGCCGCAAGGTAACCCAGGCTACTCTGTCTGCCAAACAGTTGAGGGGGGGGGGATGAATTTGGGTAAAATGTTGTCTTTTCAGGGCACGTACTGGGAGGGAGGGGTCAGAGGTGTGGCGTTTGTCCACAGTCCCCTGCTGAAACGCCGAAGAAGGATCTCCAAGGATCTGCTCCACATCACCGACTGGTTTCCTACACTGGTCAACCTGGCTGGAGCCAACATCAGCCAGGTCAGTGCAGACTGACCTCTACTGATGACAGAGGTGAGGGGGGGGTCCTGTCACCTGTATACATTTGTTTCCTCAGAGTCAGGGTCTGGATGGTTTCGACGTCTGGCCGACCATCAGTGAAGGGAAGGAGTCTCCTCGTCAGGAGATCCTCCACAACATCGACCCCCTGCACAGACCTCCTGCTCAGACCATGAAGTGGGAGGTGGCACCAGGAGGAGCTCCAGGTGACAGACATTCAGAGACTCGTCGTCTCTTGTTGAGTCTTGGCAGAGTTTTCTCACCTGTGTCTCTCTTCTAGGCCGCACGTCCAAGGTTAAACCATTCATGAAGCCAAAGAAGAAGCTCCAGAGGCAACAACCAAACCAGAAGCAGGCCCTCAAGCTGAAGTCCACCAGGAAACCTCAGACCTTTTCCAACCACGCTGACAAACCCAAATCCAAACTAAAGTCCAAGCCTTCTTCTAAACTGCCAAAGTCCAGACCTCTCCCCAAACCCAAGACCAAAACCTACTTCCAACAGCAGTCACTGTCCCAGTACCAGCCACACCTCAAGTCCACCCCCAGTGTCCTTCCATCTGTGACCGATAAGTCCGACCTCAAATCCCTGCCTCTGGTCCAGTCTCATCTAAAGTCTAAATCCAGGAGGACGGTTAGCCACAAGAAAAAGAAGAAGAAGAAGAAGAAGAAGAAAAAGAAGAAGGTTTCATGGTCAGGATCATCAAAATCCACTTCCACAAAACTAAAGGTAACGTCCAAGAGGATGACATCACAGGATCAGAACCAGTCCCAGACAGATGCATCTGTTCCCACATTTCAACCAACAACTTGTTCCGGTCCAAAGTCTGATCCTCAGCCTTCATCTGGATCCCAGCCTGATCCTGAACCTTCATCTGGACCTCAGTCTGTTCCTCAACCTTCCTCAGCATCTCAGCCCGATCGCCATCCTCCACCAGGACCTGAGTCAGAACCTCAGCCAGTGTGGGACACATCCATCCAGGCTGCCATCAGAGTGGGAGACTGGAAGCTGCTCACAGGAGATCCAGGCCATGGAGACTGGGTCCCACCACAGGTATTTGAACCGTAAACATCTATTTAAATAACAGGAGAACTTGGTGTATCAAAGTGCCCTGGAAAATGATCAAATTTCAATGACTTGGTCTGTAAAACTATTATTTATTACAAATTATTTTTTCTTTGTTCGTCAATGCATGACAGGCAGAACAATTAAATACTCTTCCTCTAGGTGGCAGCAGATGGCTATTAAAACTGAAAAAAATAAATAAATCATCAGAGCTGTTGAAGATCTTTGTCAGCGTCTTTCTTCAATTCCTGCCAGTATATCAGCGTTGTCTTCAACTAAACAGGCCCAGAGTTTAGTCAATTATGAGGTCATTTAAACTAGAAGATTATTATATTTCATTACATATATTTATTGTCAGATTTCTGTTTGGTGGTGTGTTTGTGCCATGGCTCTCCTGTGATTCCATCTCCTCTCCTCAGGTTCTCCCCTCTCTACTTGGTCGCTGGTGGAACCTTGAACGCACCTTCTCGTCTCACTCCCGATCCAAACATCAAAACGTCTGGCTCTTCAACATCACAGCCGACCCGTACGAGCGGCAGGACCTCGCACACCAGAGGCCGGACGTAGTCCAACAGTTGCTGGCTCGGCTGGCCTACTACAACCAGACCGCCGTTCCGGTTTACTTCCCTCCAGACGACCCTCGAGCCAATCCCAGTCATCACAGCGGCGCCTGGGTGCCCTGGGTGGAGGATGAGGAGGAGGAGGAAAAATATCAAGGTGTGTACAAGAAGGAGAAGAACGTGAAGAAGAAAAAGAAGAAGAAGAAATGTCGCCTGTGCAAACTGAAGTCCTTCTTCTTGAAACTGAACACGGGAATGATGTCCAACAGGATCTAAGGATTTTTTTTTTTATAAACACGTCACAGAGTTGAGCATTTTAGAGATGTTGACGACCTTCAGTAGAAGTGAACGTCCTTTAAAGTGTCCATTCACTGGCTGTAGTCTTTTTGGACCTGGGTCTCCTATGAGGTCCTTGAATCTGTCTCTGGAGACAGAGTCTTACATTTCTTCTTGTTTTACTGCCATCTTTGGTCACAGTCTTCTCTCAGGTCTGTCCGTTAGGATTCTGATGATCCACGTCCTCCCACTGCAGTAGGTTTTGGAGGTTTCGTCTGTGGGAGTCTCAATCTTTCTTCTTCTTTGCTCTGGCTCAGTGTCACAACTTTTTACGTTTTCTCAACCTCGTTAATGTGAGAACACAGCGAGAACTCACCTCGGTGCTCCAGGATCTCTGGGGATTGAGTTTCTGAATGTCCCGAGACATTTTACAGAGCGGACGGATTAAAAACCAGCTTCAGTTTCTGTCTGGAGGTTTTGGCAGAAACAGACAGTGGCAGTAAACTCTTCCTCCACACTGTAGTCAATGATGTTGAACTTTGAATGGAATCCCGTCGTCAGAGACGTGATGCAGACACAGCTGTAGGTTTACATCAGCCCAAACATTTACCTTTTTTTTTACACAAACTGCTATTTTTTCTGTCACTTGATTCAAGTTAACAATAAAAAGTTGATGTGTTAATAATAATTAAATTAATAATTTTTTTTAAAAACAGCAACTTGAAAGCAACTCTGTTCTGTTGATGAGGGTAATGTTCTCACGGGCCAGTCTTCAGGGTCAGCTCACCTGACCAGACCAACCTGACCTCTGACCTCTCACTCTTTATCCTGCAGCAGCCAACTTGATGGCCATGAACCACAGACTTTTGAACATGTCTTTTTCCTGACGCTCTTTGACAAGACGCTGCCCTCTAGCTGTCACAGGAGTTCTTACACCTGTACCAATCTGTACCAGTCTGTACCAGTCTGTACCAGTCTGACCCACCTCTGAAAAAAATCTGTCTGTACCAGTACCACTAGTATGAACAAAGGCATGAGAGTCCTGGGTTTGATTCCCAGAGGAACCACATGCTTACAATATGGGATAAATATAGTTCAATTTTTTTTATTAACTACAAAATATGAAGAGAATTTGTTCCTGATAATATTAGACTATTGAAGTACTACTACAACCTATAACAGTGACATCACTGTCCATAGTCCAAGTACTCCTACACGAACCGTAGATTGAGAACCGCTGAGCATCTTAGACAGTATACAGACGAGCATTATGCGAGGGTCTCTACAGTCAAAGACAGAGGATGGAAGCCCCGACCACCAGAGGAAACTTGGAGCGCTGTGTTAGTCTGTTGCCCTCACAGGATCGGGACACCTAACCTCCACATATTTCTGTGTATTTGCTCAATTTCTAACAAACCTGGTCTGTGACTGTGAGGGCGGGCCGCGGAGTTCCAGAGAAAACTCTTTAAATGCACAAGCTGCCTCCACCCTGAACAAATAAAGGGTAAAATAAGATGGAGGACGACTGTTATTAGTTAGTCTGGGCAAATCTCAGGCTTCACACCAAAAATATGAAATAAACTAAAATCCAAGAGCAGAATTTTATCAACTGATCCCAAAAACAACAACTTCAGTTTCATCAGGGCTGAAGAACAGAGCGCAGGGTTTTGGTTTCAGATCAGGTGTCAAGAATCATTTTTTTCATTCTAGCAGGTCTGAAGGTCTTGTGACCTGGATCCTGGTTTTTGTTTGGATAGATTCAAACAGAAAGTATTTGTTCCTGTGAAGACCTCTACCTCTCTGTAGTCAACAAAAAAAATCACATGTATACTGTATGCATACTTATATTTATACACATTTATATTTACTTTTGTATTTTTAAAAAAGTAACCATAGCACACTAACTAACTAAGTGCATTGACAAACCATATTGGCCACTGGGTGGAGCCAGATATCAATATATTTAAATCTCCCACTCACACTTTTTTGTCTGCTGTATTTAAGGCTTTTCAACGGGTTTTTTTTTATATATATATATATATATCAAACCAAACACACATAAAGAGTGTGCACAATGATACACAAGCACAAATGTCCAGGGTGTTAGAAATAAACAAATACTTCAATACAGAATATCCAACTCCAGCTCCGAACCGCTAAAAAAAATTCAACAGCCGTTGTCATTTACGGCAGTACTAGGACTAGTCACTCGTCCGTTCTCACTGTACCATCAACAAATCCATCCATTCAGTCCAAATAGAAAATGTAAATATTTCCTGAATTTTTTTTGAAACAATTTCACGCCAAGAGAAACGTGTTTCGTGTTATGGGGCGTCAACATAGCCACTTAGCATTATTAGCATGCGGAATTTTATTTAGAGAGAGTTATTCCCGATGCTACTCCAACCTTTGTTGTGGAAAATGTCTTTAAGTATGTGGGAAAAACAGAAAAGAGTCTAAACCGCGGAGAGGAAACTCACCTCGACAGAAAAGAGTTTAAACCGCGGAGAGGAAACTCACCTCGACCTGCGGCTCCAACGACGCTTCTTATTGTAGTTAATTACTTACATTTGCGATGCTGTGCCCCCTAGTGGTATAAAGGAGAATCCGATTCCTATCAGGATGGAATGAGGTATCTAGAAGTCATGTTTACTTACTTCGCCTCTCTCTGTTTTCATAATGACATTTCAGCAGCAGTTGTAGTTGTACTACTTAAAGTTGGGGTATTTGGTGGTGAAGGTCAGACAGAAGACACTGAGGGGGTGGTCAGAGCCCACGACCTTAATGTTCATTACAACAGTCTGCTGATGGAACCTGATAAAGACAGCACAGACAACAACAGAGTTGTTCATTAGAAAATACCCATCAGGCATCAGCACAACATCATTAACTGCAGAGACACAGCAGGGAATTTGAAAGTTGTCTAGTTTTTGGACTTCACTCCAATGGCAGACCCTGAAGTCAGGGTACTTCAACACCACATCAGACCACGCTGAACCCAGGAGTACTGACATCAGATACTACAATACTGCCATCAGTACTGACAGCACATACTACAATCTTACTGACAATACACTATGTGTTGAAGACATTTATCACAATCCTGCACGAACACCACAATAGAACCCCTTAAAGGTGGAGACTTTGAAGTGACATGCGATACTTGGCCAGTGGATGGCACCACTGTCACACAACTCAAATTGTTCACTCTATGACACACTGGAGCAAAGGAGAACCAAAAAACAAACAATAAAATAAAATAAATAAATAACCACACATCCATCAACGACACTTAATGCCCTGTATTTTTATTTCACTTTGTGACAATTCAAGAGAATTCGTAGTCTTTCCCAATGAGTGTGTGTGTGTGTGTGTTGTGGTGGAAGAGACTATATATAGATATATAAAAAAATCATGAATCAGCTGGGCCACTGGAATGGGCACCGGGACTGTGGTACAGACAAAGAAAAACTACAAGTAGCCTTGTTCAGTACCAAACTCTTCACAGAAGAGAGCATTTTAGAAAGATTTTTTTATATTTTCATTTTTCCCCCCAAATAAAGGCACCCGATAACTTTTCATGGCTTTTCAGCCTTCTGGAGTTCTAAGAAAGTAGAGAAAACAATTTTGTATTTTATTTTTTTTTCCCAATTAATACACGTCTTTTGTATTATGGAGAAGCTGGAATGATGATAAATGTAAGTTACTGCATTTTTTTTTTACTCCCTTATATATATACTTTTTTAAGATTAACAAGTAACAAAAGAATGAAGTCTTCTGTGAGGAGCATTAAAATTAAAACATAGTGGAACGTACAAAAATATTTTTTAATTGGTAAGGGGGAAATGGGGGATTATCTTTTTAAAGAAAACCAAAGAAATGACAGCCACTGGTGGCAAACCACAGGCTGAAATCATACAAAAGCAGCATCATTCAATTTTTAAAAATTATATAGTGCTTAGATACGTCAGAAGCAGCAAAGTCTTCTGGGAAAGATTCTTCATCCCCATTGTTTTGTTACTTGTCTCCAGAACAACAATTAAAAAAAAAAAAAGCTATGGAAGAGCTGAGTGTAAACTGGCAAACTGATGTCCACCACAACTTTTCACCAGGGCTGTCACTTCAATAAAATAAGTTGACCACCAGGCGGCGTAGATGTTGGCCTTTTGTTTTCGCTGGGGGAAACAAAATACACAATGTTCCACTCAGAACTTATAAAACAGGAGCAAACATTCTTCCCACGCAGCCTGATTACTTCCTTGGACAGCAGTTTTGAAATAACAGTTATCTGACTTCAACCCATGTTGGGACCGAGGGATAAGTACCACACAGCACTGGTTTGCTGCCGAGGTGTTTGTTGGGAAACCATCCGCCTGTTTACAACCACTCTGACAGATGTAAAGGTTTGACAAACAAACTGCAGTCTGGAGCAAAGGTGGAGGCAGCAGAAAAATGAATGAAGAGAAAACCCAGACTGAAAAGACTGGAGCTGATACCACTGTCCAGGTTGGGACCACAACCCCCCCATTTGATCTCAACATGAGCGATCAAATGGGAGGTTGTGCTGTGAGATGAACTCAGTCAGGGTTTTTACACCACAAACTTTAAGCTAGGCTCTAAATGTGTTTGTACTAAAACGTCTTAGAGGTTAAAAGTGACAGCTCTGTTGAAATCTGACGTTTGTCTCTTCATCTCTGCCTGACTGTCCTACCTGCAGACAGAGACGGTGAGACGCCCTCTCTTGGCCAGGTTCACAACATCCAAAAGAAAGAAATGAAAGGATAAAGAAAACACAGAGTTGTAGCTGAACCGTAAACACAGCAGGGGGGAACCAGTCAGAATTACAATGACTTATATATATTTATATATATAAAAAAACGTTTGGAGGGGGCCGGGGGGGTTGTAAACACGGCACAATAAATAGATCAAACAGCAGGTTTCCGCACCATGCACATGATGACAAACATTTTTCTATCACACCTCATTTCGCACCAGTTGCAGTTTGTCGTTTTCTCTTTTAATTTGATTTTTTTCTCTCGTTTTTGTTTTAATATCTCGAGTGCAAAACATCACAAATGAACATTTCTGTATTCAAGTAATGTTATATACAAGAATCAGGGGGGCGGGGCATAGGGTATTACAAATATGCAGTACTGTACATATAATTGCCATATTAAGAATTTACAGATGATCTCTTATTAACAGTAACAAAGAAGGGAATGTGGGGAGAAAGGGAGGGGCCGTGGTCAGGGTGCGGGAGAAAAGAAAATATTTGTACGAGATGAGCATTGCAATTATGTCCCCAAATGGTTGCCATGGAAACCCAGGCTCTGCTCATCCTGCCACCATTTGCATTGGTGACTACCAAGTGATGCATAGCACCGAAAAGAAATCCCAACCAGTAAAAAAAAAATTATATAAAAAAAAAAAGTCAGAAGATGCAGCCACACAAGGCTACGTAACCTCCATGGCCACTGTGTTCTCTGACAGACTGTTCAGTGCTGGCTTGTCCTGTTCATGGTTCTCCCTAAAAAAAACAAAAAAACAAAAACTGTCAAACATTTGAGCGTTGACTTTGAATAAACTCACACACCACGTACATTCATTCAGTTACATTTTTAAAAAAATAGTGGTGTTTAACATAAAGTTATTCATTTATCTTGTAGTTGAAATGAATGAACTTAATGAAATCTGTTGTGGTATAATTTGACAATTACCAAATTATTTTAGAAATAGAACTACTGTATACTGACCATAGATGGACTGAAAGTTATTTTAATAAAAGTTTTAGTTACAATTAAATGACCTGTATATAATACATTAAAAAGACAAAATCAATGCAAGAAGTATCTCAACATCAGTAGCAGATTTCTTTAACATCAAACAAACAGAGGTTATCGAGACATCAATCAAACAGCAGTGTTGAGATCTACTGGTTTGTGCTAAGAAAATTTAACTATAATGTAACTTCAACCACAGGAACTAAAACAGTACCCTCTTAAAGCAAAACACCAATGTCACCCAAACATTTCTGCCATCATGATTCAAAATGTAGGATGTTCACCAAGTCTCACCTGGGCACTATATCCAATGGTGAAGCCGAGGCTGTAGTGACCTTGCAAGTCTCACCTGGGCACTATATCCAGTGGTGAAGCCGAGGCTGTAGTGACCTTGGGTTTCTGACAGTTGGCGTTGGCGAACTTTAAGGCGGATGTCGACATGGAGGTGCTCAGTGTCCGTGGTGCGTGAACTCGCTTCCCAGTTGGTACGCCAAGACGGAGGCTGTTGTTGCCTAGGAGGACCTGAGTGGTGGCGGTGTTGTTGTTAGCGGGATGGGCGCTGCCATTGTTGTTACTGTTGGCAGAGGCGGAGCTGGTGGTGCAGGGATGGAGCAAGGTGGGTGTCGGGGAGGTGGCGGGAGGAGCCGGGGTAGCTGGGGACGGGGACACTGTGCTTGAGAGGTGCAAGCCCTTATAGACACCTGAGGGGTCAGAAGAGGGCGGGCGATGGGATGAGGGGTGTTGTGATAGAGGGGAGGGGGATTGAAGGTCTTGATTATCAAATATCTTGGAAGAAAAAGTCTGAAATTACACTTCACATAAAGAGAGACTAAAAATGACTTGAGGAAAGTCAGGTTTCTGCCAGTTTTGAGTAAGGCTTAAACTTCTGACCCTTTTTCTTTAACTCTCTCCTCTCAGTTTATTTCCTCATCTCTGCTGCTGCCAAGGCCAGTTTCCAGTGCTCAGCTGACAGTGCTGTGGGTGTGTTTGTTTTTTATGTGGTCTAACCTGCTCTCTCAGTTAACAGTGTTAAAACAGTGGCTGACTCTGCTTACACTTGGCCATTTGCTTCCTGTAGTTTGTGACAGGTCAGAAAAAAACCATTTAAATGGTTTGATTGCATAAAGATGTTTAACACTGACATGTTTTCACCAGACCTATGAAACAAAAACCTGCAGGAGGACCGTGTGTTCTGTCCTGTCTGCTCCATCTTCACACTCGTCGTTCTAAAACATCGTCTCCTCACCATCTCATCACTTTGCCTCTCTGACTTCGTCTTCCAACCCCTCAACCTCCTCTTGATAATGCTCATTGCTCATCCTGTCCTCATCTGGTCACTCTCTATGTTTCCTGGGTCTAAAGACCACAGACAAAAAGTTAGCTCATCCAAACCTGTGCTGGGGCTTCATATAAGTTTTCCATATAAATGATGCTCTCTCATTAGACTGGTGTAAACTGTGCTGATTTAGGTAGTCTTTGTGTAAATGTCATACCTGAAGGGGAGAGGATGCCATTGACTCCGCCTCCAAGGGATAGCTCCTCCTTAGTTTTTAGAGCCAGCAGTTGGTCGGCGGTGATGAGCGCTGAGGCAGCAAACTGGGCGCTGGCCTGGTCCAACGTGTTCGCTAAGCCCTGTATGGGTTTCTGACAGTTGGCGTTGGCGAACTTTAAGGCGGATGTCGACATGGAGGTGCTCAGTGTCCGTGGTGCGTGAACTCGCTTCCCAGTTGGTACGCCAAGACGGAGGCTGTTGTTGCCTAGGAGGACCTGAGTGGTGGCGGTGTTGTTGTTAGCGGGATGGGCGCTGCCATTGTTGTTACTGTTGGCAGAGGCGGAGCTGGTGGTGCAGGGATGGAGCAAGGTGGGTGTCGGGGAGGTGGCGGGAGGAGCCGGGGTAGCTGGGGACGGGGACACTGTGCTTGAGAGGTGCAAGCCCTTATAGACACCTGAGGGGTCAGAAGAGGGCGGGCGATGGGATGAGGGGTGTTGTGATAGAGGGGAGGGGGATTGAAGGTCTTGATTATCAAATATCTTGGAAGAAAAAGTCTGAAATTACACTTCACATAAAGAGAGACTAAAAATGACTTGAGGAAAGTCAGGTTTCTGCCAGTTTTGAGTAAGGCTTAAACTTCTGACCCTTTTTCTTTAACTCTCTCCTCTCAGTTTATTTCCTCATCTCTGCTGCTGCCAAGGCCAGTTTCCAGTGCTCAGCTGACAGTGCTGTGGGTGTGTTTGTTTTTTATGTGGTCTAACCTGCTCTCTCAGTTAACAGTGTTAAAACAGTGGCTGACTCTGCTTACACTTGGCCATTTGCTTCCTGTAGTTTGTGACAGGTCAGAAAAAAACCATTTAAATGGTTTGATTGCATAAAGATGTTTAACACTGACATGTTTTCACCAGACCTATGAAACAAAAACCTGCAGGAGGACCGTGTGTTCTGTCCTGTCTGCTCCATCTTCACACTCGTCGTTCTAAAACATCGTCTCCTCACCATCTCATCACTTTGCCTCTCTGACTTCGTCTTCCAACCCCTCAACCTCCTCTTGATAATGCTCATTGCTCATCCTGTCCTCATCTGGTCACTCTCTATGTTTCCTGGGTCTAAAGACCACAGACAAAAAGTTAGCTCATCCAAACCTGTGCTGGGGCTTCATATAAGTTTTCCATATAAATGATGCTCTCTCATTAGACTGGTGTAAACTGTGCTGATTTAGGTAGTCTTTGTGTAAATGTCATACCTGAAGGGGAGAGGATGCCATTGACTCCGCCTCCAAGGGATAGCTCCTCCTTAGTTTTTAGAGCCAGCAGTTGGTCGGCGGTGATGAGCGCTGAGGCAGCAAACTGGGCGCTGGCCTGGTCCAACGTGTTCGCTAAGCCCTGTATGAGGGTGGAAAAAAAAGTGAGAAGAGAACGGGGAGGTGGGATGGAGGGCTGAGAAGGGCATTGGGCCGGACAAGCTCACCTGTGTGCTGTTGGCAGTGGTGGTGCTGTTGGCTTGCTGTTGCAGCTGGACTTGCTCCAGCTGCTGTTTGTGCATCAGGGTCAGCTGTTCCTGATGCTGCTGGTACTGTTCAGCTGTGAAAGCTGAGAAAGGCAACAGTGTGGTTACAAATCTGAAGGGTTAGTTACAGCCTTAGATTGTAGATCAGAGTTGGGACAAAGCTAAAGGGTTGGTAAGAGTAATAACATTGATTAACGCCCAGCTGCTGTGACACGGAGACACGAAGCAAAGATCTTTGGACCAAACAGGGATGCCACCTCACTGTGTTCCCAGAGATGTCTCAGTTCTCTCCTCCAGTTTTTAATGTGGACAGAGTTTCTGTGGTGAATTTAATCACAGCCTATAAATGTCATTACTGCTTCCTACGCCACTTTCCCACAAATAATTGGCCAAATGCCTAAATGTTAATGAATGCCGTTACCAGTGTATACTGCTGTGTAACTGAGGATGTCCAGTGTCGATTGGAGCTGATTTTCAATACATGTTTTGATTAGTCCAGTGTCTCACCGAGCTGATTTTCAATACATGTTTTGATTGTTAAAATGATTTTACAGCTGCCACAAAAATACACCTGATAAGGTAACCAGTGACTATGACCACAGTTTGCCTGTCAGGTCACAAAACATGATGACGACAGAGGCTGACATATCCCAGAATCCTCCACAGATACAGAAAGACACCACCCTCGTCTGAGAGACGCTTCATGCGCAAATCAACACATTTAGTCAAAACTACTACATGTTTTAGGTTTGCTGAGGCTGTCACCAAACTTTACTTTTTCCACACGATTCTATGACGTTATCATTTCACTCGGTGTGATTTCATTTCTGAGAGATACTTTGCACACAACAACAACACAAACTCTGTGGAAAACCTCTTGTATCGACAACAACGCGCACACTGCCTTACTGCCCCAGCAGTGCCACCACCAGAGGCCTGTGGCATTTAGCTAAAGTTCCACACAGAGCTCCTCTAACTCCACACATCATGAGAAATCCTGGGAATGTGATGAATTGATCAAACCCCCCTTTACTGACACCTGTGGACTGTGGAGAGGTAATGCAGACTAAACGCTGAGCAGCAAATCCATTAACTTTCTCAGTGCATTTGGAGGACTGTCCAGGCAGCATCAGAGAGAAAAAACTTCACAACAGCTCGCATGAAATAAACTGCGGTCGGTTAAGTTCAAGGTTTTCATTCTACAGTGTGGAATTTCAAAACAACAAAAAACATCAACGTAGTCAGAATGTCAAGCGTATCAGTTTGTAGAAACTTACCAGCGACGGGTGATGGTGCAGGGATGGCCCTGCCTGGACGCTGAGAGCCGTAGGGTTGTCCTCCACCTGATGCTCTGGACGGGGGCTTCAGGCCCCGACTCAACCTCCTAAAAAGCGGAAGGGCATTATCCAGCTCGTGCAGTGGTAGTGTCCGTGGTCTAAAGTGCCTCCACCGGCACGACTTTATATTCAACAGTATCTGACTGAGGTCCGTGGATGAGGGGCAGGACGAGAAATAGGAGGAGTTGGAGAAAGAAGTGGAACTTCTGTCCGAGGTATTTGTTTCTGAGGTACTGGCGAGCTTGTCGGTGGTTGAAGAGCGCAAAGTAGCTGCGGTGGGAGTTGGGGAAGAGGGGAAGCAAGGCGAGTCAAGAACTTCAGGATCCAGGCGATGAAATATATTGTCGTAGTCTGTGTGTGCCCGGTCCAGCAATATCCTGAAAGAGAAGGAGGGAAGATGATGTAATTCCATTTTTAGTCCCAGGACAGGTTCTGTTGGATCAACCACATTTGGTTACTTCCCTTTTTTACAAAAACAAAAAAAAAACCCACTAGTAAACATCTTCAGGATCGTGGCACAAGGTACGAAATGTTCTGTGTCCCACAGAACAACACACAGCTGATAAGTGTGGTTTACTGACCTGCCGCCTCGTCCCACACGCCGGCGGGCCATGCCCAAGCAGCGCTGTGGCACTGTGAGTGTAGTGAGACTGTAGCGAAACCGATCTTCTGCCAAACCGCCTTCCAAAGGATCACACCACGGCCAGTTTCCCACACGGTCCTGACGAGCCTGGAAAACCAAAACGATTCATGTTATATTTGTGATGTGGGGTCAGTGATTGGCTGTTTCTCAGCCGTTCAAAATTGAGGTGATGTCACCTTTGTAACATGGTGAACAGTTACAAAGTAACTTACAGCAAAGTACTGGCAGCCTGCCTTCCTCCGAAAGGCGTAGGCCCCATCTGGGTCATTCTCCTCTGCTTCTGAGGAGCCCGAGTGCAGCTGTGGATACAGATCAGTGTTAGGTCACTGACAGGTGTGGGATCAATGAGAATATATTTCAGTATATGTCCGTGTCAGCCTCCTACGTTATGTCTGTGCTGTGTTTTATGATCACTTCTTTTGTGCGCGCGCGTGTGTGTGTGTGTGTATATACCTGGGAATATGGCTCATCGTCCGAGCTGGGAAAGTCATACTGGTTGAGGTCCTTGGTGTTAAAGACAACAGGACTTCCGCGGTGAGCAGCCACTGATAACAGCGGCAGAGCCTTTTGTTTCTTCTCGTACTTCCTCTTCGGTCGTGGAACTTCCATCTTGTCAGGCTGTAGAAACCAGAGATTTACCCTCAGAGCTACTTGAACTCACATGTCTGATTCAAAGCTCGGTTTTCCACTGTATTTTTATCTGTGAATAATACTTTACAATTTTTTACCACCACTGTTCTGCCTGCACACTAATAACATGTTTTGCATTTGTTGTGCATTTCTTAATGTGGCCACATATTTCTCTGAATGGAGGATGTGTATTCCCAGACAGCACAAGGCTGACCTTTGACTTGTAGTCTTTGAGGTCCATGTGATCCTGGTGTCTGTACTGGTTGGTAAGTGGGACCAGAGGGATGATCTGTGGCCTCACCAGCGCCCGCTCAGCCAAAACCTCAGCCATCACCTCACCTCCAAAGTCTGACATGACGTTTCTGAGAAGGAAAGATATTGTTCATCATCACTAATCATCAAATCCTTTCACATGAATTTACTGCCACATTTGGTTTCATTTCAGAAGAGAATGGCGTGTCTTGGACTTGCCTCTTCTCAAAGATCTCCAGAGTGAGGTGCAGCAGCTCCCTCTTACTCTTCTCCCTTCTCTTGATCATCTCCAGGATGGTGACAGCTCGACTCAAATCCCTGCGCAGCTTCAACATCTTCTCATAGGAAGCCTCATCATTCTTACGATTCTAAAAAGAAAGAAGGACAGAGGGATGAAATTAAGAACAGAACATTAAAAAAACTATTCAAAAATACTCCATTAATTTCTTCACATGGCCACTTGGGGGCGTATTTATCCTTTAAATGGAAGAGTTGAGCCAAGTTAGTTTGAAGCTTTAAACGTTTCAGTTTAAAATGAGTCAGATAAAAGCATCCAGTTTGAAGTTTAAAATGAGTCAGATAAAAGCATCAACACTCTCCACATCTGCAGCACCAGACAGAGAAAGGTAAATTTACTTTTATGGCCTCTGTAATAATCACTCCACTCACAGCTAACTGACAGAATAGAAAACAACCATTTCTACTTTTAAAGGCAAAATTTCTTCACACAATCAATTTTTTACTAATCCAACAGTTTTAACATTTCTTCACACAATTTTTTACTAATCCAACAGTTTTAATCTTGAGCTTTGAACAGTTTTTTATTCTACCTCCATTATAAAATCTAGATGGTAAAAGGCTCAACTTGATAATAAAATAAAACCCCAGACACACAGCATGGAGTGTAGAAAAGCATTTAGGAGTAAATATCAAACTTCAGCTTCATTTTGCAGGAAACGGTAAATGTTGAAGCCCATAACATTGTTTTGATATGACAGGATTTTTGGAAGGAGTGGCAAGTAAACCAACCTTCCTAGTCTGCATCTTCTCTGTGCGCCGCCGGAAGGCCACATAGGGGTCACTTGTGCTGGAACCGTCACGCTTCTCCTGCTTGATGTTGTTAAGTAGTGCGTTGGCCCTGCTGCATTTCCTCTTGCGGCTCCAGTACTCATACACCTCCTTGATGAGTTCATCGTCCTCCTTTAGCAGCAGTTTGGCCTCAGGGAGACTCACCAGCTGAGCAGCACAGACACAGGTCAGCGTCAGACAGGACTGTTTATGTGATACATCTGTGGTGAGGAGCTCAAACTTTTCTGTGAAATATTTTCTAGTACGAACGGGACAATCATTGACTTTTGCTAAAGCAGATCAAGTTCAAGTGAAGGTGATGCCAACCTGCTGGCCACTGCCTTTCTCCAGCCGATCAATCATCTCCTCAAACTGCAGAAAGCTGATCTCCATCTTCTTTTTCAGCTTGATGACAAAAGCCTCATCATCTGAGTCCAGGTCATAGTCGGGCTGCTCTGTATCCAAGCTGAAAGCTGGGGTAAAATAAAGGAGACTTTAGAAAAGAATACGTTTCATTTATCATTCATCTCATGTGTTTAACCTACAGACATGACAGTGTATCTGCACCAAGATGTAGCCATTTTAATAACACTACTAAAACCAGAGGGGAAAGAGATTGTTTCAACTTGTCAAGTGAATAAAGCAGCTATTCTCTGTTTGTCCTCAGTTGCTGTTGTAGGTCATCAACCCACTGACCTATATCTTTAACAAACATGTGCAGAATTCGCTGCTGTGGTTCTCAGTCACCTTAGGGAACATCCATGTACAAACTGCTCTTGAAATACACAACTTTTGCAGGGTTTTTTTTAAAGAGAAGAATGTTCTATACATATTACAAAGACACTTTAAATAGAAAAACAGACCAAAAAAAAAACCCTGAAAAGCACAGAACACACACAGCTATAGTCAAAATAAATTAAATTGGTAAAATAGGTGATATATTTTTTTTTATTTTGAATGAAAAATGGCTCATGTGCCCAGCAGTATGCAGATAAACCATTCTGTTTTATTTTATATTCAACTTTGTTTGTTCCTGAACGAACCACGAAAAAACTGGGTCAAACCACAGACAACAATCACAGTTCAAAACAATCCACTTCTTATTAACCACTCACAGCCATTAATAATCATTTGTTTTAACTCAGCCATGCTTTGTTTTCAGCAACAACAAAAGGTGCATCTCTACAGACCTAATCCAAGTATTTGCCGATGTACAAGCTCCAAATCCAGAGGTTCAATTATTTCTTCCTGCTGCAATCTCATCATCATAAATAAATAATAAAATCATCTTTATCACAACACAGACAGTCAAGGGACTCGTGCAGTTATTGAAAGACATTCTTTTCCAAATAATAAAATCATCTCTATCACAACACAGACAGTCAAGGGACTCTCTGACAGAAGTTTTCTTCTTTTACTGTCAGTGTCTTAAGTCTGGAATGCAGCACATCACTTTAAGACATTCAATGAGTCTTTTACTGTCAGTGTCTTCAGTCTAGAATGCAGCACATCACTTTAAGACATTCAGAGCAAACACTGGACCCAGTGAACAGATATGATAAAGCAGACCCTCATTTTGATGAGCGGTTTCACATGGATATTTTCACGCATTCAAAGTAATTGAAAGCAGAAAAAAGGCAGTGACAGTAGAATGAAAAAGGTTGATATGGTGCATCAAAGCCATCATTCTTCTTCTGTATCACATATGGCGTGCTACTAAAGAAGTCAGAACACTTACGCTGTAAGTGAATGAGCTGCTTTGGCATCTTGAAGTCTCCAGCGTACAGAGAGTCATAGTAGGTGATGTTGCTCTCTGCCTCAGGGACTGGGATGACCATGTTGTCACGCTTCTCTCCATACACCTGCTGCGCTGAGATGGCCCTCTGGAGATGGTGCTCCTACAGAGACAGAAACACCAGTAAGAGAGGTGAGGATGAGTTCCAACAGAATACTCTCTTCTTTAAAAAAAAAAAAAAAAAGACTGTTGACATGTTTGACTAACAGCTTAAATGAATTTATTATACAATACATTTATTGATATTTAGCTCACATCTATAATGCATTCTGTGTTGTCAATACACATGTGCATTTTAATCTCTATAGAATATTAGGCTCCACAGCAGACAGTAGTAGTAGAAAGGTCAATATATAAAGATGATCAAACATGATGACGTTAATCACAAAACATTCTGTCTGACTGCACAGTCAACTGTCACAACAACTTGTTACACATCAGTTTGTCAACAAAAAGCAGCGAAGAACTCTGGCAGACGACCAACCAAAGATGAAGAAAACCTCACTACAGACAGAATCATCACTCCTCAGAACTTGAGGTTTGAACTCAAATCTTTTTTTTTTTTGCAAAATAAAAAAAGAAATTCAATTTTCAATGGTTGCACAGTCATATAGGTTATAAACAATGTGAAACATAAAATACACTGTACAATCCTTTTATAGAAATTGAATACATTTTTAAAAAAAAAACCCCATCTCACACGCCTCCAAAAGACCCACAACAAAACCATCAAACCAATACCACTACAACCTATTGCTAATCTGGTTAGTTTGACTGGCTCATTGACAATGGCCTCCATATTTGGAGTCCTGTAATGACTTTCTTCAGTTTGATAAGTAAAGACAAGATATATGTGAAGGAGGGTGTGGTGACTTCCACACATTAAAATAACCTTTGTGGCTAGAATATTCATGGAGCCTAGAGAGTCTTTCTGAGACAGGGACAGCCCAGAGAGTATCCTAAACAAAACACACAAGGGGGTTGGGTCCATTCTACCTTTGTGATAACAGCAGTCGAGGGCAAAAACGAACTGCAGGAGATTGAAGGCACCAATCACAAGCTGAGGAAACAGAGCTGTAGGGACCAATCAGAACGCGCCTCCTGTTTATTCAGTCCCTACTATGCTTTGTCAGTCAACCTCCACGACCCTACAAGTATAACAAGAGTCTGCTGCCAAACCGTCAGATGGAAAGACAGGGCAGGGAGGGGATTTGGCTGGAGGAGAGGGAGACGGGCCTGCAGGCTGATGAACTGCTTCTCTGGCTGCCTGCTTGTCTGAACAGTTCCAGTCAGTGGTAGTAGTGAGTCTTTAGCCCAAAGCTGGGCACCCAGCCACTGGCAGGCAGTCTGTCAACAAAGCAGCGTGCTGCCGACCTCGTACAAATGGCCCTCTGGGGAGAAGAGGTGTGTGTGTGTCTATTAGTCGTTTCCCCTGCGACCGTCAGTAGCACAAGAGCAGGTGGGGGTAGGGGATGGGCTACAGGATTTGTGTCAAGAAAAAAAAAAAAAAAGATGAATGAAAGAATGACCAACTATTACCAACAGGATGTCTTTACACTTCTGAATGAAAAAAATCAACATTAACGTAAGACCCGCATGAAACCGAGCAAAGAGCTGCATAGTCTTAGAGATTGAGATAATTGTACAATTTTTTAAATAATGTAATTTAAATACAGGAGACAGAAGTTATGCATACGTATTTAGGTCAAGTCAAGGCCAGATTCTATGTGTGTGCACCACATGAAACTGTTGACTGTCTTTAGTAGCAGCCACATAGAGAGTGAATTATTTTTCCAGGGTTAAACCAGGCTGGAAATCACACAGAGCAGATCTTTCTATATTATATCAGGACCACCAGATTATTTACCAACACCATGAATGCAGTAAAAAATACTTCTAAAATACTACTTTATTCTTATTGCCCTACAGGGTACTTTAAAGAGTGTCAGACATCAATGATTGAAACTGTAAAACCTCCAGATAAATCAAGTAATCTTTATTTTAAAATGGCTTACTAATTAAAATGATTATTTACGTAGTAATATTACAAGTCATGCTACATCCTCGAGATATAAACATGTTCCATTTCATCTTGACACCACTAGGTGCATTAGAGGAAGTCTAATTCAGACCAATAAAAGTTGAACCTTCTTTGGTCTGAATTGTATGTGTAATGCTGGCAAAAGGGAAGTTCTGGAGTGAGTTTGGAAAGTAAACTTTCTGTGTGACCTTCAGTACACTTCCATGTCAGTCTGCAGCATTAAATCTGATTTACTGTCTCCCCAAGCCCCATGTTCATCAACACCATTTGGACTTTTGGGACAAGCAATATTCTACAGTCTGTTAAACCCAATGGCACCAATGGTACTTTGCATTTATGACATCATGTGTTATTCTGTTCCAAAAAAGTAGCTTGCATAACCTCCCGTTATGTTCCTCCCTGGCTCCCCTCATTTTGTCCTCTCAGACATACAAACCTCCTCAGCAGGTTTCTCCACAATGAGGGAGAAACCCATAAATCAAACGCCTTTGGCAATATCACATCAGCTGTCAAACCTAATCAAACAGCCTGTTTGTTTACTTTGCCGATGGCTGGTATTTGCCTGAGTATGAATAAACTCAGATTGGGGTGAATGGTCACAATTCAGGGGATAACTGTTAGACACACAAACACGCACATGCACTACTTCCTCTTCTCTTTTCGTCTGGCTCTCACAACACACACAAGTCCAGAAATAGCTTTCCTAAAATGACCATATCGATCAATGTCAGGGCTGCTGAGCCAGCCATAGCCCCCTCCATCGTGTCTGCTCTGGCCTTTGACAGATACTGTCCCAGACACTGTAAATGCCACTTAGCATGATGGACAGTCACAGGGACTGTTCTGCTACAGCTGTCGAGGGATGCACGACTACAGCCCAAACTACATTTCCATGCTGTGTGGGAGAGATGTCTAAGTGTGGAGGGAAATAAACACAAGACACTGGGCCACAGCTTTTTGGCTTTTTCACATGCTTAGCAGTTCAAAAACAGAAACAAAGACCACATCCTTAGCAGTTCAAAAACAGAAACAAAGAATTTTTAAATTTCCCACGCTGTCCACATGTATGTCAACACACAACTGTCAACAGAGGGAGAGGAAAAGCAAACAGCTGACAAGAGCAACTTTCACTTTGCCAGTGTGAACTCTATAGAGACTTGACTCATGGAGACATGACATGACCCAAATTCTTAACCAGCAAGGTCACACAGCCACTGTGTGTGTTTGTGAATGAGTACAAAAACAGTTTCTATCCAAAAAACAGAGCAAACACAACAGACACCTGTAGGTTCCCAGCGTGGCCACACAGTGACCCTACTTTCATTCAAATGAAACACAAAACAAATATGCCCCACATGTTGAAGGGAAAACAAGCCGTGCTGCAAGGCTACATAACCACAGAGGCTGAAGAATTCTGTTCGGCAACTGTTGCCTAACAGAATTCTTCAACCTTGACCATGACCTGGATGACTGAGAATCTACATAGACATAACCACACAGACAACTACAAATCTAAGTGCTGGAACAGGACTTCAGAAGGTAGCCTCCACCCTGTGCTATAGCAAAACACGCATTTATTTATCTTTTACTATTGAAAACATTTCAGTCATTATGGGTAAGGAACTAGAACCCATACCATAAGTAATTAAGCAAAAGCTGGTTACACAGGGTCATAAATACAGAAACCAACCACAGACACACACGATCAAGGAAGAAAAACTAAAAAAAATGAGAGAGAAAAAAAAGTTACACACGTGTTTGTACAACACAGCTACATCATAAAAGAGTATGCAGCAGGAAGCTTCAAATATTGTGACAACATTACTACTTGTATATAGATAATAAACCACATATTTAAGGCTGGCCTCCTATTAATCAGCAAACCTTCCCATTTTCCACACTTACACACAGAAGACACTACTACCTCCACCATTAGCCTCCCCTCTTCTGCTCCAGAGCCAAAACTATTTGTCTCCAGCAGGCTGCTTTCAATGTTAAAATAACCATTCAATAGTGACAGCGTGGACGCAGTCTGAGCTGCTGCCAAGCACTTTGTATGAAAAAATGACTGTTGCATAACAGAGCACTCCAGCTGAGCTGAGGGTAGACTTTGAAGTGACAGCAGCAACCTGTCCCCTCCTGAGTACCACGTGTCACCGATCATAGAGGCTGTTGTACCATCTGACACAATGAACCTCAGACGCTGACCTTCTACAGAAACAAGGAGGCAGACCGGTCGAAATGTGTCGTCTATGAATAAAACAGCAGCTTTTACCTCAGACACCCATGCCTAACTACTGTGGCCTTTACAACCAAACTTTGGTTAAGCCAGCTAGACTAGCCACAGCTGCCATAGATACCTAGTGATGGTTATTACATTACAATACATTTAGCAGACGCATTTATCCAAAGCGACTTTTGAGTCAAAGTGACAATTTGAGTCAGTCAATCAACAATCACGCTACAGTAAAAATACAAAAAGCAAAAATACATAAATAATAATAAATGGTGATAAATAATAAACAGATAAAGTACAGTTATAGTCACAGTAGGTCAGAGAATAGGAAGAATAGTATGACAAAAATATGTCATAAGAATTACTATTTAAATAATACGAATTAGACAGAGTTTGTATTTCACTGTTTGGCACAAACTAAAGAAAATAAAAAATCTGAACCTATGTCAACATTACACACTACATGTTATAACCTTTAAACATTATTTCACTACTGAAGAATTTGTAGTTGGTTATTTTGACAATTATTGTGACTTATTTCTTGGGCTTCATTTATGGATACTACCACCTCGATTTAAGTCCCTGTTCTAGAATTAATTGTTTCTATAGCCTCTCCTCTCTCCAAGTATTCACACCATTAAACTTACAGTTCATGTGACTAAAAAGTCTGATATAATAGCTCTAAAGCTCGGACAGTTATTTGTAACTTAAGCTTAATAACGCAGTATTTTTATGGTTTCTATTTCCCGTTTAAACTGTGACTTACAGTAGGCCGTCCACAGTGTGGGGTAACATTCTCCATACAAATATAGAGATATACACCATCACATGCACAAACATCACAACCATTAACTTTCAGCGACTATTTACAACTTTCACTGAGGAAACGCGTCTCCACACAGACTTGCTGACAAAGACTGTAAACACATCGCACCTCCATTACTCGCAGACGCGACTTAAACCAAACATAAATAAATGGCAGCAGCAGCGGTGTTGACATCTGTCTGCCGGCGCCACAGCCAACGCATATAAATGAGGCCTCCAGCTCCCCCTGGCTCTGGTTCTATGTAATTACGCCAACACTGGGGCCCTAACACTGACAGGAGACACAAAATGTCGGCACTGCTCGGGTCACATGACTCCTTTGTACTCGGACCGTTGCATGGTGTGAAAATGTTACACTAAAAGCACAATATTATAGCAAATAAAGACACAAAACATTCTCAGTTTCCATTATGAGCCGTTTGGGTGCCACACCATCGCAATTTGCACCATAAACCGTCGTGTTTCTTCAAAGAAAATTGGCCGCCATTTTGTGAAAGCTGGCGCAGGAAAAAAGAGGGACGACTATGATAGTGTAAATATAAATACAATTTAAACTAGAGTCTATATTTTACAATAATGCCACATACCGACTCTTCCTCCTTCTCCATACCCGTCGGCATCTGCGGCACAGCCCGGTTAATGGATGCATATTCGTGTAGGTCCGGTAAATCCTCACAGCGGAAGACGGGTAGTGGCTTGGAAGCGTCCAGCGCCCGCGCCCGAAACGACAATTTACTCATTTTTTTCACAACTCGAGCGTCGATATAAATCTGTCCGATCTCCTTAAATCCACAACGGTGTCGAGTGGAGCTTTCATTGATGTTTCTGTGCGGTTAATCTCTGTTTTTTCTGACGTTCGAATGGCGCCTGCTCGTATAAAGGGCGTCGCCAGCGGAGCCGGGGGAAGGCCCGGATCTCGGTCGCTCTCTCTCGGACTGTTTTTTTCTGACGCTCCGCTCCCTACCGTTGGCTCAGTACGCCATGGACAACATGGCGGACATTTAAAACTCTTTTGCGCTGTTTCGCTCGCAGCGGGTCCAACCCCCCAGTTCCCGCACCGACCATTCCCACGCGGTCCCGGGCGCTTGCGCGTTGCGGGGGTGGGGGGAAGGGAAGGGGCCAAAGTGTGGCTAAAACCGTCTCTTCTCTATCCACACATACAAAGATTAATTATTTAAATTAACCGCGGCCATGACTAATAATACCCGACTAGCGTTGGTAACATTTAGTAAATCTGTGAGGCTTTGTTAAATGTGTGCAATGATTAAATGTTAGCAAAAAGTGACTTAATGTATAACTGCATTGTAAAAAATATAAACACTAAACTATAATATATAAATACCTAAAGTCAACATAAACAGCTTATACAAAATGTCATGGATCCACATTTAAAATCATATATTATGATATATGATATTTTTAATTAAATTTTTTGAATTTATTTTAAAACCCAAAGAGGTTATTTTAAGTTTAGCAAATGGCAATGATTCAAAGTAAACAAAAATACAGAAAGTTGAAATCGTACTGAATACAAAATATAGGAAAATTAAATGGTAAGATAGACAATAGCACATGTACCGCAATGAGTTCATAATAAAAATAAAATAATTCCAGGACTTTTCAAAAGAACATATTGGTGGATGATTATAACAACAATTAAAATAAATTTGGCTTGGAAACTCAGTTGTTAAAAATAGCCTCTGCCAGCAGAAGCATACAGACACCTTTTCTTTAGTTCAAAAAGTGATTGTTTTACTAATTCACTAATTAAATTTATTACATTGCCAGGTTGATGGAATTTCAGACATTACCTGGACATATAGGATGGTTGTGGTAATATTAATCTCAGGTTACTAAAAAGCAAAGCCTGCTGTTTTCAGCTTTCTATAAAAAATATGAAAAATGTATAAATGATAGAAAATACAATGATTCAAAAATAAAATAACAGTTTACTCTGTCTGAAATAAGTACCCAAAACAACAATGCCGTTTTCTTGATTAATCATTTGGAACACATAACATAAAATCACAGGTAAATACAAATACCTTGATATATCTTCTTTGATTTTTAGTTTTTAATACTTGTAGGTATAAGAATGTCTTTCCACATGTTTACAAAGGAAACAACGTTGCCTTCTTGTGGTCGAACAAGGAACGAATCTCAATTTCCAAAGGTCAGGACATGAGCATGTCTGTATCTGGTGTTACACATGTAACACTTTGGTTTGAATATTTACAACCAAGGAATCAGGACACCCAGGGACCAAAAATCAATGTAACCTGTTTAAACTGGATTTTTAAACCTTACCTGTTGTCGTTATTGGGTTTAACCTGTGTCCAACCAGGTGAAGTGAAGCTTGTTTATCATGAAGTCCACAGACAGCATCTTGAGGACCTGGGAGTAAATGAAATATGAAGCTGAAAAAAATCAGTAGATATAAGAGAAAGGACATCACAACAGCAGTTTGGTTGGTCAGATAATGAAACACAAATACAACAATTGACACAACACAGTAGCACAGAAACCTAACTGTGGCTTTTAATGAGTGAAATGGGCAGGAAGCTGCTCTGGGTGGAGCAAAAGGTAAATATTCAACCACCTGTTTAGGCTCTTCAGTAGAACTAATGTTGGGTTCTGCCCTCCTACCACCACACCGGGCTTTCTGCCACCAGATGGGTGTTGATTTGTTAAAAAACAAACAAACAAAAACATACAGAGTGCCAGTGAGAGGTCATGGATTTTTCTCATTTCTCAAAGTCACTACAACAATAATACAAACTGCAGACATTTTGAAAGTTGATGAACTTATGAGGGAACCTGTGTTCTCAAGATTACTTGTTATACTTGTTAGTAGAATATAATTTAACACTGAAGAACACTCAACTGAGTTTAGCAAAAATCAGTATCTGTGAGTCACATTAATGAAAAAAAAAATCAGAAGTTGGAATGAGGCAAAATAAAAACTGCAATCAGTGCATCTCTATCAATAAAAGACAACACTGCTACAGACACGACCATTAAATAATACCTCCAACATGCATCTTTATTCTCTGACCCAAATAGTAATGGCTTCCCACCATCAGGTGGTAGTGTTGCAACGTCAGGGTTTCACATTTGCAGTTAAAAGTGAAGAAATGTCAACAAGTAAAGAAACACTGATGCAGAACAAAGGCAAAGTGAACGATGATGAAGTGAACAGCAAACAGTTCTGGTACTTGAGGTCTCATCCTTGTGGTGGAAAAGAATCTGGTTCCTGTATTGTCCCTGGTTTGTGGTACTTGTTTGTATTTGGGAAATATTATAGGATTTCACTAGTGGTCCACTGACAGTCCAGGTCCACTTCCTGGGTCCGGTTGCTAATGTTGGCCCCACAGAGTCGCCCTCTGGTGGTTTATCGCCCCCTGTGGCTCATTTCCTGGGCTTTAAATCTTGTAAGCAAATGATTAAGTGCATTAAAACACACTTGGGGCCTGTGAAGTCTTTGTTGAGCTTGGCTGATCTAATCTGTTCTAGTTCTAGACTAAGACTAGACTGCAGATCAAGGCCGACGGGGTTCAGATGAACACACCCAGATGATTCAACCATGTCAAGCTCAAAAGAAGAAAAAGGAACAGACTTTTACCTTACAGCAAAGGTCAACCCTGGGGAGTCCACAAATGTACACAACAACACGGTACACTGTGTTTATATAAACACAATTTCATACAGCAGGGGGTCCCTGGTCTTTTTCTCCATCAGTTTGGGGGTCCTTGGCCTGAAAAACCTGAGAGATCCCTGTGTTAGACTATGTTCTAGCTTCTAACCTGCACCTCCTCCACCTCCTGATCTTTCCTCTCCCTGGTCCTCAGATCAGGTTTCTGACATTAACTATCCTGCCTTAAATGACACAACTAATGCTTCGCACCTCCTTCACCTCCTCACGTCGACGTTAAACCCTCTCTGTCACGACGATGAGGAGGAACTTGGCTTTATAAGGCTCTTGAATTACATCCAGCTGACCAGCCTGGAATTTGACTGCGTGTATGAAAATCATCTGATGCAAAAAGACTGAGAAGAAACAAGTCTTTCTCCCCCCAGAATGGGCCTTTACAATAGGATCTAATCGTCGACAAAGGTCGAAAATACTCACCAGGTCGACGATTGAGGACAGGGCGGAAGGTTGAGCCCAGACGGACAACATTAGTGCAAAGTCAGAAGTAAAGAAGAAAAAAAAACGTCAGCCACCAGAAACACGACGCAGCTCCAGACACACAAACACTGCCGTGTTAGCTTAAAGCTACTTTCTGCCTGAGTCTGAGAGAGGAAAGAACCGCTGTCAGGTTAACCTCCAGTCCGCTGACACAACGACACAAAACTGCAAAAAAAAAAAATTACTTTTATATTTATGTTTTCTTTTCCCTGTAGTATACCCGTGGAACTGCAGGAGGAGGAGGACGAGAAGCCAAAGTGCTACTGTTGGGGGTTAACAACTTTGCTGTAAAAGGAGTCCCCTGATTGGGCAAACGTTGCAGCCAATCAGGTATTGAGACACAGCCTCGAATGGTGGCGTCACGATTCTTAAAGGGAGGAGACATTTTTTATTTATATATTTTTAGAAAGGAAACATCGATATGTCAATAAACTCCTAATCTAATAAACCGATGCACGACTGAAAATGAACGAAAATTTTGTTCTTTTTTTTGGCCGAATTGGCAAATATGTCTAAGTAATTATTTAAACAGTTTAATCCTTTATTTTTTATTTTTCTGTATTTAGTTATGGCGATGCTAAATCTTACATTCTTGGGCTACATGGCTAATTTCCCTTTTTTAGTCATAGCTATATTTTTTTAGATCTTTTTTAATATTTTCTGGAACAAAGTTAACCAATTTTAACCATTTTATCCCCATAAACACATTAATCTTATTCAAAGTTGTTAGATATAACATCTAACATACAGACATACAAATCTATGGAAGTGTCCATCAAACATTGGTTAATACTTTTCAAATGCAGATGTAATACGACAGAAACACACAAACACAAAGTTCCAATCACACAATCTCATGAATCCAGCCATGAATCGTTTAAAAGGTTTATTTAATAAATAATTTCAAAAGGCAGACCTGGAAATGTGCCTGTCGTCGAAATTATGAAGGCACTTAAAAAAACAAATCTGTCAGTTATTTTTTAAACAAATATCCAAAATTCTCTTTTACTTTCTTTTTTCCTAAGTCATAACTTTTTAAATTGGTAATTTTTTATCTTCAATAAAAAACAGTTTGTTCAAGACACTGGCACACACATGGCTTAGATGAAATTACATGTAAAAAAAAAAAAAGATTAAAACTCAGAGCTTTTCCTCTATTCATGTTCCACAAGTAAGACAGGAATTATTAAAAGCAATAAAAAAATAATAGGTTCTGCATATTTGGTGTTCAGGACCTGAGTTGGTTTTAAAATTCAGTAAAGTTGAAGATAAGTAAAGCCAAAAAGTAAAAGTACTGAACACTGATGCATTTCAGCAGAGAGGCAGCGAGAGAAGAGATTTCACTCCATTATTTGATTGTTCAGGAAAATCTGTGGACACAGATATGGCTTCACACACTGGACACAACCGTCTGTCAGTCAAACTCAATAGACGCCACGGTGGAGATCAACCCAAAGACACCGGCGTCTTCGCAGGTCACATGGTTATAGGGACACAAAGGTACGTCAGACCAGAAAACAACCTGACGACCTGCAAATGTTCTGTGGTTGACCCACATGTCAGAACACTGGACTGGACTAAATGTACCATGTCCACCACCAGTCCAGAAGATTCTGACATTCTGATCATGTGGTCCTCAAAACAAACATCTGTCAGCAGAGGATCCAATCAGTGGGTCACAGACAGGTTCCTGGCCGTGGTTCATCAAAAAGCGGTCACATTCTACATCTGAAGGGTTTAAATTTGAAAACTACATCGACTGTTCAGGTTTCTTTAATGAATGATTGTCTCCTCCCCCCTCACCTCCATCATCAACATCCAACACAAACCCTCCACTAAACACTGACTTCTTTATATTTCTAGAAGTCCACGTCTCACTGAGACTTTCTGCTACTGCTCAGTTCCCAACACTTCAGACACACAAGTCACCCGCCCCACCCCCACACTGGTTTTGACACAGACTGTACACATTCAGACAATGCATAGAAAGTAAACCACGTTAGTACAAAAAACAGAAATAGTGGCAAAAATGCAATGCTATGATTTGGTGGCTACAACTACAACAACAAAAAAAACAACTAAAAAATGAAAACAAACAGTGAGAGCATAAAACCCCACCCCTCCATAGACCACGCCCACTCCTCTCCGGCCTGTACAGTGTTGTCACAGAGAGGGCCACGCTCCATCATTTGCCCTCATACTTTGGATTGACCACAGTTGTTACAGCACTTTTGTAGATTGGATTCTCACCCTGGGGGGAGAAAAAAAAAATCAGTAAGTTTTGAATGAACAGTTTAAGATGCACAGCGCACAACACTGCCACCCTGATGAATCTAGAGCCACTTTACTGCCACCTACTGGTAAATATTCTATCCAGAGGACGTTGCGATCAACATCAACAGAAAAGAGAAAAATTCATTCTAGACAGAAGGACTAGACTTTTGGTCAGACTCTGAAGATCTCCTCGGTCGTTCCAAACACGTGAGTCCTGGTCACTGTTGAACTCACCGTGTCCCATATGGCGTTCATCTTCTCCTTCTCAAACTTGGCGAACTCCCGACGGTCGTGGATGATCATCAGCAGTTTCCAGATGAGCAGCAGCGCCAGGCCGATCAGCACGATGCCCACGACCACTCCTGCCACGATGGGGACGATGTCCGGTACAGCCGGGCATTCTGGGAACACACAGAAACACCACTGAGCACAGGGGGACGGAACCAGAATCTGGACCGGGCCAACTCTGAGGAGACGTTGTTTGGTTTTTCAGACAGTTCCGACTGTTGTCACAGCTGTAGAGGTCTGATTCACAGGGACTGAGACTGACCCAGGTTCTCCACCACGTAGACCTCCTTGGTGTCGTTCCTGATGGCGTAGGTGTAGTAGAACCAGCAGTCGTTGGCGTCCCGCTCTTTGCAGTGAGTCAGGGGGAAGCTCTGGTCGGTGGGCTGCGGCAGCTTGTCGCGGTCCTTCACCTTGATCAGCTGGAAGTAGCTGCAGTCCCGCTCACACGTGTCCTTCTTCTCACCGGCCTCAAACGCTCGACACTGCACACAGTCTCTGCAAAGGAAACCTGAAGGTCACACACACTACACCAGGCATGGACAAACTATGGCCCGGGGGCCAGATGTGGCCCATTCAGCTTCTTAATCCAGCCCGCCAAACCATTCCAAATTATATAATTTATTTTTATTATCATTATACTTCTGCCTTTTCCCTGCAAAACCTACATTTCCCCAATAGATGGCGTAGAAAATGCTAAAAGCATTTTAGGCCTTATGCATGTCATTTATCTCAGTTCACATGAACGCTCCATCTATCTGCTCCTGACCCCGCCCCATGTTCAATTTTAAGACAATTGTGGCCCACGAATTAAAACGTTTGCCCACGCCTGCACTACACCCACAAACCCTCAAACCCTTCTCTCGTACTTGTGCTCGGTGCAGACGCCGGGGCAGGTGGGACATATCTCACAGGTGGGACCCTGGAACTTTGGGTTAGTGCACTTGCAGTTCCCACATTCGCAGGTTCCCCGTCCGTTACAGATCTGTCCGTTCTTGGCCAGACAGGTGGAGGTGTCCAGGGAGCAGTCACAGGCGCTGCCGGTGTAGTTGGCGTCACAGACACACTTCCTGCAGACGCAGCGTCCGTGTCCTGATGACGAGAGCACATGTTACCTGCAGCAGTGTTTCTGACATCAGCTGACGTGTCTGCACAGCGTGACCTTTCACCTCCACACAGCTTGTTGCTGGAGCGGTCACAGTTGAAGTTGTCACATTCACAGTACTTCCCGCTGTACACCTCGGCTGAATTCTCTCGCTTCTTGCACTCACAGGTGCCGCAGACGCAGTCGCCGTTGTTGCTGCAGATTTCAGTACCGTTGTCCTTCCTGCAGTTGGCGTCCAGGTCCTCGGTGCGGACTTCGTCCTTGCTGCACTCACAAATACGTCCAATGCGACCTTCGTTGCACCTGGGGGAGACAGCAGTCCGTGGGTGAGAGCTTCCCCTCAGACCGCGGCTTAATAAAAAGCCACGCCCACTTCCACTCACTTGCAGGCTCCACACTCAAAGGTGCCGTGGCCCTCGGAGCATTTCTTGCTGTTGCCCTCTCCGTCGACGGCGCACTGGCAGTCGCAGATGAAGTTGAGGACCACCTCCACCTCCTCGGTGAAGCCCAGGGGTTTGATCTTAATGACTTCAGGTTTGCCGTGATCCAGACACTTCTGAGACTCGATGGAAATGACGAAGGACACCTGGAGACCAGAGGAGAGTTTACAAGGCTGTGAAAAACCAGGCTTTGAAGTCTGCTGCTCCGGTTCCTGAAAATGAGTCAGGGTTGTTGGTTTGAGCCCCGCCTCCCAGACCTGACGTCAAGGACGTGGTGAGGACGTGGTTTTCCTGCTCTGTCGTTTGCTCTTCTCCCCAAAAATCATTCATTTAACTTAAACACACGTCAACAAATCCACACAAATGAGCTGAGCTTGGAGCGCCCTCTGTTGGATTACGCAGTAAGAGAAACCAACTGTGAGCGGAGCTTGGAGCGCCCTCTGTTGGATTACAGAGCATGTCACACTTTCACATAGCACGGCCCTGGAGACGTGACAACACTACCGATCAATCTCGTACCTCGTCACCGATGGAGATGTTGGAGCACTTCCTGCCGTTCTCCCCTGTTCCCTCCACTCCATTCTTACAGACAGACTTGTAGGTGATGGACACGCCCTCTGGCAGACGGCCGTTTTCCAGAATGACCTCAGACGACAAAGACTGCACGAAAGAGGAGACAGAGGGAGACGGACGTGTGACTTTAGTCTGTGCTGGTGGGTTTTCAGAAGAACTGTTTCCTGGTACCAACTGTACCAGTGAGCGTGTGTGTGTGTGTGTGTGTTCAGTGTGAAGACTCACGTTGTAAGCATCAATGATCAGTTTGATCACGTTGCTGGAGTTGGAGGACAGCGTTCCCACAGCTGATTTAGGGATGAGGTTCTTCAGCTCCTGTTGATAAACAAATATTACCAACGACATCTGACCTGTACCGGACCTGTACCGGACCTGTAGTGGACCTGTATTTTTATTGCCCCTGTTTTAACTCTAGAGGTTTTGTCTGCTGTACCTTATACACAGGCTGGAATTCTTCAGTGACAGCAAAGATGGTCTGAATGTTGTGGTCACTCAGCTTCTGGACCAGATGAGCGATGGAGGGATAGTCCTGAACGAGACAACACATCAGAACACATCAGAACCAGAACCACTCTGATGTTTACCGTCTCTGTTTCATGGACATGTCCAGTGGAGAATCGATGAGAACCACGTACGTAGTAGTGGCTCATGGTGTACATGTTGTTCTGCAGGTGACACTTCCCGTCGTTGGGGAGGACGATGCCGCCCAGTTTTCCGTCACCGGCGAAGTGGAAACCAGCGTCGGTGGAAAACACCAGCAGACGAGTCACGTTCCTCCAGCCGATGTGTTCCTGGGAAGACAAGACGCAGAGTCTGAAGACCTCACTCTGAACATCACACACGGGGTGTGGGGGAGGGTGGGGGTGGTTCTCAGACACACCTCCACCTCAGAGCCTCTCACCTCACAGACAGCCACCTGCATGATGGCGTCGAAGCCCCCCTCTGGAGAGTCCAGGTTCCCTGAGATCTGCTGCTGACTGACCAGCTGGTTGAACTCGTCCCCGTTGCTGGTCAACTTCAGGACGTTCTTGTAGCTGAAGGGACTGGTGCAGTTCTGGTTACCAGCGCAGGGGTTTTTGAGCCTGGCCGGTGTGGTGCTGATGTAAGGCATGACCGTCTTCTCCACAAAGGATCCAAACCCTGAAGGAGCAGAAGAAGACACTTTATCTTAGCTTCTCTGTCATTTCTCCACCCCCCCCTCATCCCCCCGTGCCCCCACCTCACCAATCCTAAAGTCTGAGGTGATCTTTTTCATTTTTGTCATCAGGTCAGTGCCAAGGTTCTTCACATTTTCCAGATCATCTTTCATGGAGAAGGAGAGGTCCATCAGGTAGTACAGGTCGATGGGGTAGTCCTCAGCACGCTTGAACTTCAGGTTGAACGTCTGAGCTTCACCTTTTCCCCCCAACACACAGAACATTAAAGACTTTTTTAGTTTGTGTAGAAAAGCTGACTAATAACAGTTGACTGGATGTCGTTACCTGATCTGAGGGTCAGTGTGAGCTTCTGTGGCTGGATCTGAGTGATGTCCTCAGGCTTCAGAGTCCCAGTCTTATCCTTGCGGTTGGTCACTGGTTTGTCCTGGTTAATGACAATTTTTCCACGTGGGTTCTCAACTTCAGAGCAACCTCTCTTCTTCAGCGACTCCAGGTCATCACAGCGGGCCGACTTGGACTCGCCCACGGTGAGAAAGTCCTGAAAGAACATGGATTTATTTTGACTTGATCCGTAGGTGCGAGCTGTTCCATCGCCATCACTGAGGTCTCACAACATTTCACATGAGTGACACAACAGTTCCACTGGTGTGATAGCACTGCTGCCCATACAGTACAGCTCCACCAACACCAACACAAACATTTCAATATAAATATAGACAAAAAGAAGTATTTCTGGCTCAACGAATCACCTTTTTAAATCATCAAACTGTTTAGGACTGGTCCAAAAAAAAAAAGAAGTAAAGTTTCAAAATGTTGTCATAGAGATTACCAGCGTCACTGGTTGCACTCACCACGTCTGAACACCACCCACAGGACTCGGCCACTTGAATACATTCTCCACAGGACTGTGTGTTGGCCTTGATGCAGATGCTTCCCTCTGAAAGACATCACACGTGTTCACGTTCAAACGGCCATCGCAGGGTTCTCCTACAGTCAGCAGTGGTTCTAACCTCTGTTCTCACCTTGCTGCGCTCCACTGCTCCGCAGAACGGCTGACAGCCACAGCATCAACAGCAACCGGACGTCCATCTGCCAGAGGAGAAGTAACAGAAGAGTGGGGGAGTCACTTTCTACATTTATGACACTTCTCCTTTCTCCCTCTAGGTGGAACAAATCCATCCTCCATCCTCCCCTAAGAAAGTTAACATGCTGTCCTGACACGCTGTGGTGGAACATTTCATGAAGACTGTGTCATGTGACTAAAGTGTCAATCTGTGTGGGAGGCGTCACGGGGATTTTATTTTGAAGTGAAGGACCAGTCCTGAGTCCTGTTTCCAGCTGCTGCTCAGATTGGTCAAAGTGATGACCAATGGCAACTGGGCTCCACTTTTCCTGTCCTTCCACGACCACAGGGTGGTGTGTTCCGTTTTCAGTTGGACGTCTGTCACAACAACAACAACAACAACGCTGTACCACCAGCATTTTCAAAACACTGCGGCTACTGCAGTAAAACTTCCTCATGAAGAAGTTCCCACGCTGTTAAAACTGACACGGTCTGTGGCCAAAGGCGGGGCTGGATGGAGAAGTTGCCCTCACTGATCTGGAGTCAGCGACTTCTCCATCAGTGACACACGGAAACACCAGTGACTGCACCAGGTGACAGACTGCTGGTGCTCTCTGTGCCTGAAACAACTACACCATGTACTGTTCACTGTTCACTGTTCACACACACACAGACACACTTCCTGTTTGAGCTGTGTGTGTTGACAAGAATCTGTGGATACGATCCGTATCACGATACATATCACGATACGTGGGACGACAGTCTCAGACTGCCCCCCCCAGTGTGATCCTAGTCTCAGACTCTGTTCCATCTGAACATCAGTTCCTAACTCTGGAACAGAGGGATCTACATTTGGAATCACCAGAGAAGAAAGAAAAGAACAAGAAAATGGGAGGAACGACAGCTAGGGGGCGTGTTCACACCAATGTTCACAGGAACTCACAGGAAGGCGGGCCACATTAGTCAGACACACACATGAACTCTACTGTTTATAGAATGAATCACAGAGTCTGAGCCAACAATGATGACGAAGATGAATCCACGACTTTGTGTGATGGAGCAGAGACAGAAGCTGTGGTCAGACTAGCGCCACCTGTAGTATTTAGAATAACAGGCATAAACAGTGGCCCTATGACTTTGTATGGTCAGACAGCAGAGGCCAGGGATTCGGTTTGATCACAGCTGTACGGTCTACTGTAAACACTGGTCTGGACCAGAGCCTGGAGACTGTGGAGAACACACTGTCGTTTACGACACAGACCACAGAAGAGGGGGCACATGAAGAGTCCTAGACCTACTCCCTGTTCTGGTCCACAGTCTGTCACCAGGTCCAGACTTGTCAGATGTTCTGACTTTATCTCCAGCCACATTCTTTGGCTCAAACATTTCAGTGTGAGCTAACAGCGCCCTCTGTGGCCAGAGAAAACCATCACAGCTGCAAATGACTTTCAGATGTCTCCACATACAGTACTATATAACAGTAGGAGCACAACAGCCTGCAGGAGAATATAGTAGTCTGTTCATGGAGTTGGACCAATAAAAAGACCAGAGACCAGATGGACGTCAAAGTGACTCCATACAAACTCAGCTGGTTTCACCTGGTTCCTTTTGGCATTAATGTCAGAGGTCTAACTGTACTGCAGCCCATACTGGAAACACTGACATTTTATAACATGTTCCCTGAGACAGTACTTCACTAAGCAGTTCTACGGCAGTGGTTCCCAACCTTTTTGGTCTTGTGACTCATTTTGACATTCTGGCGAGCCCTGAGACGTTTCTTAGTTGATAAACCAGTCATTTTGACCCCACACGGGGTCACGACCCCAAGGCTGAAAGAATACTGATCTATGGTGATGATAGTTGGTTGTCACACGTTCTAAACTGTTCTCTCTCTCTCTCTCATTCTGTAGAAACATCAGCGTTCCGATGATTATTCCACTGGACATGAACTGAACAGGGGCTGAAATAAATACATCAAATGACCGTGTGTCTGAAGAACAGCTCCACATGGGCCATAAACCAGAGCAGCCTCCTGTTGTCTAAGGGTGGAGCAAAGCCATGAGTGAAAGAATGAAACTAAGTCTGAAGGTCAACTTTTAATGTAACAGAGAAATCTGGCCTAAAAACCAAATCCAACAAATAAAACTTAACACTCCTCTTTTCTGAGAGACATTCAAAAAGGTGAGACAAGTCAGGACTGTCCCTGCAGAGAACAAACGTGGTTGTCACCCATCCCCCAACAACCCCCTCCCCTCCACACACTGTCGACCCCAGTCCCCCCCCACCATCACCATCTCCTGTTTCTGAAAGTCACAGTCCAACAGTAACATGACTGAGGAGCCATTCAGTTAATTACACCGTTATAAGCCCCCACCCAGGATGCACTAGGAGTGGACGGAGCAGCAGGACCGTCTCGCTTTCTGTCAGGAAACCAAACCTCCACACAGAAATAATTCCAACGTCCAGTCCGACGTCAGCCTGATGTCAGACTCCGTCAAACAGAGCTGGTGAACTGTCTGCTTTTCTTTGGTTATAGTTTGAATAAAAAGGAAAACGTAAACGGTTCTTCTAAACGCTTCCTGTTTCTTGAACTAAAGGAAGAATGAAAATCTCTGAAACAACGGATTTCATTATAAAAGGTAAAAAAAAAAGCACTCTAACTCCAACATACTATTTTAATTCACTTTAAAAAGTCCCATTCAGGATGTTTCTTTCGTACGGAGGAGCCCCCCGTCCCCCCCCCCCCCCCTCAGGGTGATGAGATAATGCATTCCAGCCTTACTGGTTCCTTGTGGAACCGTGGAAAAACCACGTCACTGAAACACGGCCTGCTTTATTAACGTCTCTCTGACATGAAGCCCATGAGTTCACTCGGCCAGTTTGACGTGAAATAAACACACCATCTGCATATCAGGTCAGTCAGAGCAGAGCTCCCCCTGCTGGATCACCCTAGAACTTCCTCAGCTGATGGAGCCAAAGGAAAACTCAGACAAGATCCAGTACCAGAGAACCTGGGTTGTCTTTTTTTTTAACCTTTTTGAGCTCATTTCCTCCCAGGCTTCAGCCAAACATCCACGGAGGAGCCGTCGTCCCTGACTCACACTTGACCAGCTGCCTGGACATGACTAAGGCACAACGTCAGTTTTAACTGTCCCAGATACTGAGGGACACACAACAATGTAACTAAGGGAAGTGACTCAGACCACAGACCAGGTCTCTCTTGGATCTGGTCTGCGGTCTTAACTCTTGCCATCTTCCTCATGCACCATCAACAACACATCTGTTTTCACACCTCAGTACGTTCACACTGCCGCCTCAATAGCATGCTTTATTCAAGCTAGCCGAGCCAGTAATTAACCCCGAGCATTTTATTCCCATGTCACTAAATAAAGTCTTGCAGCAAGAAGTCAGGCCTCACAGATTACAAGTTTCACGCAGTGAATCAAGAGAGAGAGAGGGTGAGAGAGAGGGAGGGAAAAAAAAAAAAAAAAAAAAAAAACCTTCCCTCAGGCTACAATTCCTTTACGGGAAGTAAACTCGGCAGGCGAGTCGGAGCTAGTCCAACTACTGTGATGTGATTCACCCCTCCTGGATCAGGCTGTGGGCAGGGTTGAACAAGACTCTGGTTAGACCAAGTAGGCCTGCTTGGAGACCCAGTGGTGCGTGCCCGTGTCCGTGTCCGTAGCCACAGTTTACACCTCTCTGATGGAGCCTGGACAGACTGGGCTCCAGCTGTGGGCCTGGCTTCACGCAGCCCTGTCGTTTGGTTTCTCTGACTCCCTCTGGGAGCTTTGAAACTTTAAGGGCAAATGTGACGAAACACTGACGTTCCGATGTAAAACTGTGAGAACCAAGAAAAAAAAACTGAACTGAACCAGTTGTGAAAATAACTTCATGTGTTCCTTCACTGAGACTAAACACTCATATCTTTGGCCACTGCTGCCTCAGAGCACTACTAAAAATACCAACTGTCCTTCCTATCTCTGTCCTTCATAGTTGTTGTTTGACTAATGACTACAGACCTAAGAAGACGAAGTGCTTCCACAGCATAGTTCCAGAACTTTTCTAGTACCTGGAACCATTTGCAGGAAATATAATGAAGATGCCTGTGTTTAAAACAAACATTAATGTCCTAAGAAGATGATGCTAACCAGTCCTGGACGGACTCCAGGTCAAACAGCCAACACTTCCAGAAATGTCCTTTGTTGGAAAAGTAATTAGTGAAGTAAAGTTTCATCAATAACAGACAGAAATTAATTTACTTCAAAAGATTTAGTTTATATTCATCATCATCATCACAATTGGTCTGAAAATAATATGTTCAACAGACCATTTTTATTATTTGAGGTTTGAATACACTTTGTTTAGACTGATGGTGGTTTTAAAAGGCCTCACAAAACCGCTAACCAGGAAGAAATGACGAAAATGTGAAGCCAAAACACGGTCCTCAGCAACACATTCAACACTAAAGCAAAAACTACATGTTAGAGAGACGGTTTCAGTGGGTTTATAGAAACAGTAGGGAGTTTAAAAAGTGACATTTTTAAGCATTGTCTCCTTTTAAAAGTCACCAAGTCACCAGGGTTTAACCAGTGACTGTTCCTCGACAGGACCCACGGAGCGACCACTCCGTGGCCTACTCTCTGTACCAAAGTCTACACGGAAATATAAAACAACTGGGTTATACACCAAATGTTGTCATTTTAAGTGTTGAAAAATCTAACTACGTAGCCTCCGTGGTAGTTATCCGTGGGTAATCCAGAGTTTAACCGTTAGTTGATTGTGGTTTTAACCCACACCCAAAGTTTAGCCCGTTGACGGACACTCCTGCTTCTTCACCTCGATTGTAATCTGTTCTAAAACATGACATGGCAGATTAAATACGCAGTCAAAAATCTCGACTCACCTTCGCAGCCAACTTTGGTGTCTCTCCTGGTGGGTTACTGCGACATTTGAAACGAAAATCGGCTGCTTTTTAAAGAGAATCTAGACGATGAACAAGAGCCGAGCTCGTTCTGAGTTGATGCTTCGCTTTGTTTCCGTTAATAACCGCAGCGTCGGGACAAAGCCCACTACAAGACGGAATTAAAATGAGAATACGACTAATTATAGATAAAAAACTAAATAACCACGTTCCGCCGGTACTTGCCCAGATACTTCTCGTTCTACTTACTTTTTTTAATGCCCCTATTTCAACGAACCTACGTTCTTCTCCAAGCACCGCCCCAGTAGGAGGAGTCGCGGCACGTCCAGGGCAAAAGAACAAACGCACCGGTGTGTGTGTGTGGCGTGTGTGGCGTGAACCCATGTTCACCGCGGATGTGGGGGGAAAAAAGGCGCAGTTCACAGTAAACACAGAGAGAAAGTGACAGTATTGAGTATTTTAAAAAGTACACGTTTACGTCATGATGAATGTCACTTTATAATCCATTTTAAAAAGAATACACTTTTTAAACTTTTTCTTACTATTTCTAAAGGTCAATCTTTGGACTTATATTATCAATTTTTTTTAGAAGTTTTTTTTTTTTTTTAACTATTTCAGTTTTCACCCCAAAGGTTACATCTCAAAAACAGCGACACTCAGTGGTAAGAAGTGGTGAAATAAAAATGTTAAAATCCACCTGGTTTCACATCTTCACTTCAGAGGTCCGTAAACAGTGGCAGGGGGATGGTGTTGACCTGGGACAAAGGGTCGCCTTGATGACCTTTCAGGTTTGACCCCTGGAGAGCACTGTGATTGTTTGACTGTCAGCTGTAGTGCAGAGGTGACAGGGAGGTTCATGCTTGTTTGATTTTATTGTGGAGACATTCACAGCAGGAGGACAAAGTGCAGAGGGTTTATGACCTGATGATATGCTCTGATCTGTGATAAAGGACCGGGCGGGGGAATGGTCCATCTGCAGTGTGTCCCTGCTCCTGTCAGATGAAGATGTCCGTGCAGACACAGGGACAGGTGGACCACGGTGCTGGACGTGGACGGTGAGTGACAGAACTCTGCTAAATATTTGACAAATTATTTTTTCCATTCTTTGCACATTTGTTATTTTTCTTATAACTTTCATCACTTTGTGGCCAGATATGACCAGCTATGATTTATTTAGTGTCATTTTGATTTGAAATAGCATTTTCTTTGAGTCACCTATCAGTTCTGGTTGTCTTTTGGAAAATATTATTTCTGGTTCAACTATCTTCTAATATTTAGGTAAATATCTGACTTTTTACTATACACCATTACAGACACATTATCACCAATTTCAATGATTCTTTATTTGTAAGAATTATGCAAAATACCATAATCAACTCAAATGGTCTGTCAATCCTTATATCAAACCCAAAGATCAGAAGAAAAATGAACATTATTGATTTCTAAATGAGAAATACACTATTTCAGCACAGCATGTTAGAGTTAAAACACTGTCTCAGGTTAGTTTATTAACAAGATGGGATGAACATAAAACATATAATGTAGTTAAACGTCAACAGAACCCTTACTATCCAATGGACTATTAGAAAATGTATAACTGAAATAAAAAGAACAGACATAGTCAAAAGACAACAGATAAAAGTTTTTTTTTTTTTCTCAACAGAATGAGGTCCAATCACAGGGGTGTGGACTCAGGACAGAACACACTGTACCTGGGCTGTCGCACTAAGAAGCAGCTCATCGTCCTTTCTGTGGTTCTGATGCTTGTTGTTGTTGTCATCATCACAGGGACCGTGATTGTGCTGCTCACCAACAAGTCAGGTACCTTCACTTCTTACACACGACGTCATCGACACAGAGTTTACAGAACTCTGCTGTGGTTCCAGGATAATCATAAAGACCAAGTCCAGCATAGAGAGGCTGAGTGAATGTGGTCTGGACTCTGTGGAGGAGAGTCATGGAGTCAGAGACTCTGTAGAAGGACAGAAGACCTGCTCTGTGGTCCAGGTACACTCCTACTCTGGAGGAGGAACCAGGAACTGAGACTTCAGT